GGTTCCGGAAGACTGGAGGCAGAACGACGTGAAATAGTCTGGGAAAGGCCTATGTCCAACACCAGATTTTAAAAAGCTTAAAGAATAGATTACATGTAAATTGATCTGCCGTCTAAACCTGTATTTGGCGATTAATTTAGCTATCTATATATATGCCCTGCGTGTGTGTCTATGTGTGTGTGTGTGTGTCTATGTGTGTGTGTGTGCACGTTAAAAAGATAGATAGATGTGGTCTCTCTCTCTCTCTCTCTCTCTCTTCTCTCTCTCTCTATATATATATATATATATATATATATATATATATATATATATATATATATATATATATATATATATATATATAATAAATGGAAAGAGAGATTGTTAGATAGACAGACAGATAATACAGATAATATAGATACATACATACACACATACATACATATAAATACATACACACATACGATACACCTAGATAGACACATAGATAGATTCAGATAGATACATAACTGACTGACAGACATTCCGAACGAAAGAGAGAACAGCAGGGAAGGGAGGAGGAACAGGAGGAGTCCGACAGGGGACGAGTGACATTTCAAGGCGGTGTCACGTTGCCACAGTCCTGCCACAACACGTGTTGTTTTGTATTAACACAGGCAATGTGAGACCCCAGTTGAATCGCCAGGAAACTCGTACCTTTTACAGGTTGTTATGCGGGGTTCGCTTTCCTCGGCGGTTATCCGATAGGCGTAGGCTTTGTCCTTCAAGGCGGTTGAGGGTTAGCGGTAATGGGCGGCCGAGGATTTGGGTTCGAGGATTTGGGTTCGAAGGATTTGGGTTCGAGGATTTGGGTTCGAGGATTTGGGTTCGAGGATTTGGGTTCGTTCGAGGATTTGGGNTATATATATATATATATATATATATAAGCATTAATTTCTGGTTAATATTGCTGATTACATTAAGATTCATTTAAAGTTAACGAAAACTATTGGTATTATCATCATCATTATCATTATTGTTATTCATATTATTGTTATCATTATTAACATTATAATGATGATACTTATTATCATTACTATCGTTATTGTTGTTGTTAACATTGACATTACTAATATTATGATGATTATTACTAAATTATTGTTATCATTACTATTATTATTATCATTATCATTATTATTGTTGATTTTTATTATCATTATTACTAGCATTACTATCATTATTGTTATCAAAGATGATAATTAGTTATTGTTATTATCATCATCATCATCATCATTATTATTATTATTATTATTATTATTATTACTATTATCATTATTATTATCATTATTACTATTATTATTATCATTATCATTATCATTATTATTGTTATTAGTATTATTATCATTATCCTTATTATTACTGTTATTATTATTATTACTATTATTAGCATTAGCATTATCATAATCATTATCATCAAATTCATTATTATATCTTATCGCTGTTATCATTATCATGATCATTAATGCAATTTTCAATATCACTATCACTCTTCTTTTTCTTCTTCTTTTTGTTATTATCATTATTATCACAATGATAATGATTAATTGAATGATATCATTATCAATTAATAGTATTGATAATGATAATAGTAATCATTATTTTTATTCTTATTATCATTATCATTGCTGTAGTAATTATAATAAATATTATATATGTTATTCTTATTCTTATTCTTGTTATTGTTATTATTATTAATAGTGTTATTATCATTGCCATTATTATTATTATTATCATCATTATTACTATTATTATTATTACTGTTATTATTATTACTATCATTATTACTATTACTACTATCATTGTTATTGTTATCATTATGATAATGATAGTGATAATGATAATAACAATAATAATTATCATTACTATTATCATTTTATCATCAAAATTGTTGTTAATATTGATATCAACATCATAGATATTACCAGTATTATCTACATAATCCTTTATTATCCTTATTATCATTATCATTATTATTATAATTATTATTATTATTGCTATACTGATAATAATAATTATTATTATTATCATTATGATCATCATTATCAGTATCATATTTTTTATCATTATTATTAGCATTATTATTATTATCAGTATTATCTTTATTATTATCAGTATTATAATTTTTATAATCTATCCTTATCTTCACGATCATCATCATCATCATCATCATCATCATCCTTCTCCTCCTCTTCCATCTCCTCCACTTCCTCCTCCTTCTCTTCTTCCTCCTGCACCTCCACCTCCTCCTCCATCTCCTCCACCTCCTTCCCCACCTTCTACACCTTCTTTTCCTCCTCCTCATCTTCCACCTCCACCTCCACCTCCACCACCACCTCCACCTCCACCTCCACCTCCACCTCCTCCTCCACTTCCTCCTCCTCTTCCTCCTCCTCCTCCTCATCATCATCATCATCTTCATAATCATAATCACCATCAGCCTTATAATCCTCACCATTTTCATCATCATTTCGGCCACTGCAACATGCAATATCCTTCACACTTTCTCTATTTGCAGATCGAGGACAGCTCCGTGGATCCCGAATGCACATTGCTGACGTACCTGCGAACAAAACGTATCCTTAATTTTATTATTTATTCTTTATTGATTTTTTGATTGTGATAAAGGCCGGTTTGTTAGAATTGTGGGAGGCCCGACCCAAAGAATATTCGTATACTTGACATGCATGAATAAATAAGTGCATATTTATCAGTGAACCGTATCCAATGTTGTCAATTGTAGAAAAGGAATGAATGAGACTGGATATCTTCACAATACAAGAGATGTATTTGGCCGGTTTCGATTACGTCTTCATCAGAAATATATGTGTATCTTCACAATACAAGAGATGTATTTGACCGGTTTTGATTACGTCTTCATCAGAAATACATGTATTTCTGATGAAGACGTAATCGAAACCGGTCAAATACATCTTTTGTATTGTGAAGATATCCAGTCTCATTCATACCTTTTCTATATTTCTCAGTCTAGACATGCATATCAACCCGGCAAATAGATGGTTAAATGGTTATCTATCAGATATATAGACGGATATGTCTTTATTTCTGCATCTGTATTTATGAGAATTCATTGGGTCGAGCCTGCCACAATTTTAACAAACTTTTTTTTATGTATAAACGCAATTGTTTTCTTAAATATGTTTCCTAAATGTTTTCAACAATAACCCTAATATTTTCCCTTGTAAATATATTCCCTTTTTTGGTATAAGTGCAAAGGTTTTCCTTAATTTTCCTAATATTTTCCCTCGTAAATATATTCCTCTTTATATTTATAAACGCAAATGTTTTCTTAAATATGATCATGTTTCCTAAATGGTTTCAACAATAACCCTAATATTTTCCCTTGTAATTATATATTCCTCTTTTTGGCATAAGTGCAAATATTTTCCTAAATTTCCCTTATACTTTCCCTTGTAAATATATTAATCTTTTTTGTATAACCGCATTAACCATAATATTTTCCCTTATACTTTCCCTCGTAAATATATATATTTTTTGTACAAGCGCAAATGTTTTCCTTAATTTCCCTTATACTTTCCATTGTAAATATATTCATGTTTTTTTTTTTGTATAAGCGCAATAACCCTAGTATTTTCCCTTATACTTTCCCTTCTAATTATATTCCTTTTTTTGGTATAAGCGCAAATATTTTCCTTAACTTCCCTTGTACTTTCCATTGTAAATATATTCATGTTTTTTTATAAGCGCAATAACCCTAATATTTTCCCTTACACTTTCCCTCGTAAATATATTCCTTTTTTTGGTATAAGCGCAAATTTTTCCTTAATTTCCCTTATACTTTCCCTCGTAAATATATTCCTTTTTTATGTATAAACGTAAATGTTTTCTTAAAGATTGTTTCCTAAATGCTTTTAACAATAACCCTAATATTTTCCCTCGTAATTATATTCCCTTTTTTGGTATGTGCAAATATTTTTTCTTCATTTGCCTCGTAAATATATTCCTTTTATATGAATAAGGGCAAATATTTTCCTTAAATAAATCTTCAGTGTTGCTCACCGGGACCAAACTTGGGTGTGGTGAGGGAGGCTGTGGGGCCTGTACGGTCATGTTGTCCCGCTTTGACCCCGAACAGGGCACTATCAAGTAAGTATATGTCCGCAGCTCTAGAAATACATATACGTATGTAGATAAATGCGTTGTGTGTGTGTGTGTGGGGGGGGTTGTGTGTGTGTGTGTGTGTGTGTGTGTGTGTGTGTGTGTGTGTGTGTGTGTGTGTGTGTGTTTGTGTGCGTGTGTATGTGTGCGTGTGTGTCTGTGTTTGTGTATGTGTGTGTGCGTATGGGCGTGTGCGTATGTGTATATGTACACGACCATCCCCTTGTCACTATTATCAACACAGCACAGGTACTACTCCGTGAACACCTGTCTGTGTGTGTATGTGTGTTTGTGCGCATGTATATGTGTGTATGCGTGTATGTGTGGGCATGTGTGTTTGTGTGCATGTGTGTGTATGCGTGTATGCGTGTATGTGTGTGTATGTGTGCGTATGTGTGTATGTATTCGACCACCCCCCTCGTCACTATTACCAACACATCCCAGGCACTACTCCGTGAGCACCTGCCTGTGTGTACGTGTGCGTGCGTGTGTGTGTATATATATGCGTATATGAGTGCATGTGCACGTCTGTGCGTATATGCGTGTGTGTGTATGTATTCGACCACCCCCCTCGTCACTGTTATCACCACACCCCAGGCACTACTCCTTGAGCACCTGTCTGTGTGTATGTGTGCGTGTGCGTGTGTATGTGTGCGTATATGATTGCATGTGCGTGTGCGTGTGCGTGTATGTATTCGACCATCCCCCATGTCACTATTACCACCACACCCCAGGCACTACTCCGTGAACGCCTGTCTGTGTGTGTATATGTGTATGTGTGTGTATGCGTATATGAGTGCATGTGCGTGTACGTGTGTGTGTATGTGTATGTATGTATTCGACCACCCCCCTCGTCACTGTTACCACCACACCCCAGGCACTACTCCGTGAACGCCTGCCTGACCCTTGTGGCGGCCGTGCATGGGCTGGCCGTGACCACCGTTGAGGGCGTCGGGAGCCTCAGGGGCGGACTCCACCCTGTGCAGGAGAGGATATCCCGCGCCCACGGGTCTCAGTGTGGCTTCTGCACCCCCGGGATGGTCATGGCCATGTACGCCCTCCTGAGGAACACCCCGAGGCCCGCGTGGCACCAGTTGGAGCAGCATCTGGCAGGTGGGTGGCGGGGTTCTGCTTTTTTTTTGTTTGTTTGTTTGTTTTTGTTTCTGGTTTTATTCGTATTTTTTTTCTGATTTATTGTCTTTCTTCTGTTTCTGATTTACTCCTTCTTTTTTCTGTATCTGATTTATTGTCTTTCTTCTGTTTATGATTTATTTTTCTTTCTTCTGTTAACTGATTTATTTTTATTTCTTCTGTTTCTGATTTATTCGCCTTTCTTCTGTTTATGATTGATCTTTCTTCTGTTTCTGATTTATTTTTATATCTTCTGTTTCTGATTTCTTTTTATTTCGTCTCTTTCTGATTTATATGTCTTTCTTAAGTACCTGATTTATTCTTCTTTCTTCTGCATTTTCTCCCTCTCTCTTCTGCATCGGAAAATTTGTATTTTTGCCGAAATTCGACGAAAGATGCAATTTTTTCGCTAATCTTTGTCGTTGTTTGAATCAATGTTTCCTTAGCGTAGGGTTTAGTGAGAGCAAGATTTATTTTTGTGTTTGTTTGTTCTTGAAAAAAAGCCAATTCATTGACTACGAACTTCTTAATATTTGCTATCTACATAATTTCTTCTTTGGCTAAATGTAATATAGTTAGATTACAAGGGGTTCATTCTGATGTTTGTTTGTATCTTTAGCTAAAAAAATAAATAAATAAATAAAATAAGACACATTGCATGGTAATGTTTATCTGTATCTCAAAACTTTTCCCTTTAACGAAAACTATTCTTGTAAGATACTTGCCGTGTAATGTAGAAAAGGTATGAATGAGAATGAATATCTTCACAATACAAAGAGATGCATTTGACCGGTTTCGATTATATCTTCGTCAGCAATGTAATGCTTTTCTGTATTTGAATAATAATAATAATAATAAGGGGGTGGAAGTAAGAGACCCTGCAATTTGTAATCTTTTTCATCTGTATCTCAAAAAGTGGCCATTTTTCTGTTGTCGAAATCAGGGAAAGAAGAAAGTCGTCCTTTTTGTTCAAACAAGTGATCTTTTTTTTTTCCTTTCTGAATATAATAAGTCCGGGGATTAGTCATGTAGAACAGCTTCATGGGTCAGGATTTGGAAATATATGTTATTAACCCTTTCTCGACGGAGCGGGGAATTCCCTCTGGGGGACTCCTGTATGCCTCTTCCTCCTGCCGGGACATGACGCGCCTTCAACTCAAAAGAATCACTTTCGTATTAAATCTATAAAATGAATTAGTAGATGATATTCACTTATAGATGATATTCACTTCCGGTTATCTATCTATCTATCTGTCTATCTCTCTATCTCTCTCTCTATCTATCTATCTATCTATCTATCTGTCTATATATTATATATATATATATATGTAAGTGACTACATTGCTTTAGTCTTTAAGGGGTAGCACCGATAATATAACCCGTAGATAGTGATACATACTCATAATACTAAACTTCCTGCCTGTCTCACGCTTTCGTTACTCTATGAACGTATAATATTTATACAGGTCACTGTTCTCTTTATATATTAAACGTGGTAATTAATCCTAAACATACACAACAGACTGAAATCCTTTACTCAGTGAGGAAGTCATGCAACAGAACATTTTCTGAAAAAAAAAAAAAAATTTAGTTTACAGCGCACTGACCATCGAAGTATAAGGTATATACAAGTACCATTCAAAAGCTCAAAGACTAGTTTCGTAAGGTAAAAAATAGCAATTCTATACTAACATGGATATCCACCTGCGCATGACTAGGATAAATGCATTAAGTGTAAGTAAAAAAAAAAAATATTGTAAGATGCTTACCTCGCGCGACCTGTCCGAATGTGTGTATGCCTTTTTTCATTCATCCGAATGGCTGTGAGCAATGACTATTTATTTTTCCTTTGATAATAATGGCTTTGGTGTTCGGGGTACGGGGATTTGGATGTGAAAGAGGATTTATTTCATCCTTTCGACAATGGGGTATCATGTCGTTGATTATTGTTAACAAAAAAGAGAGAAAAAAAATCTGTGTGGAAAGATTGTATTCGTGTTGAGAAACGCTGAAGATAATATTAGCAAAATGAGAAATTAGAAAGAGAAAGATATCGTAAAGTAATTCTCTCTCTCTCTCTCTCTCTCTCTCTCTCTCTCTCTCTCTCTCTCTGTCTCTCTGTCTGTCTGCCTGTCTGTTCGTCTGTCTGCCTCTATATCTCCGTTTCTATCTGTCTAGCTGTCTATCTTTTTTCTTCCCTATCTCCTTTCTTCTCTCCTTCCCTTCCTCTTCTACTTCCTCTTTCTTTCTCTCACCCTTACTCTTCTATTTTTCTCCCTCTCCCTCCTTGTTTTACTCCATCTACCTTCCCCTCTTCCCTTGATCCTTCTCCCCCCCCTCTCTCTCTCTCTTTCTCTCTCTCTCTCTCTCTCTCTCT